ATGCAGCTGGCGAGATGGTGATGCGCTCGGTGGCCGGAGAAGGTATCATTTGTCTGACTTATTCCCGACCGCAATACTGCCGTGCTAAGGAAAAACGCCGTATGAGCTTTCGAATGTTGCCGAATTTCCTTTTAGAAAATGTTTATTTTGTAAGAATGTTATGCATATTTTTCCTTGAAATTTTTGGATATTTAAGGTAAAATTGGTTACAAAATTCTTTGAAAAACGGGAAGAGAAATTTCTATGAATGAACCCGAAAATCAGCGATTTGTCAAAGGAAATTTGTCAACGTCTGAAGGCTCATACGGCGTTTTTCTTTGGCACGGTAGAATACCTCACGACAGCTAGGATTAAAAGTACTTTCAATGTCGCATGTGTGTATAATTGGATCGTTGAATGGACGTAATCGTCCCCCCTCCCTTCCTTCTTCAACCCACTCCTCCTTATCTCATTTCCTTTCATCACCTTCGCAGAGGACTGGAAACATCGTAGGACTATAACTTATTATGCAACATGCTCAAAGAGGCAATGCTGTTCCTAGGTCGAATATTTTTTTTTGGCAAGAGGATTCTTATTATTTTTGCCGTGTAGTTTATTTCCTTCTTTTTTTCACCAATTATTCTCACGGTTACGTGATTTTGGATCGTTCTGATTGGTCGAGAACCTACAAACGTTTACACTCTACACTGAGAAAAAGCTATGGTTTATAAACCTATTAGTGGTAAATATGGAACACCTATAATAGTCGTAAATAAACTAATGATTCTCGGTCTGTGAACCATACTAAGGTCTCTGTACCTAATTAAGGTACAGAGACCATAACTAAGGTATATGTNAATTATTCTCACGGTTACGTGATTTTGGATCGTTCTGATTGGTCGAGAACCTACAAACGTTTACACTCTACATATATTGCTTAGATCTGCGATAATTAAAAAAAAATGGGGGGGAGGGAGGGGTCAGTCGAGCCTTACGTAAATTTTAGAGGGGAGGTAAGGGGTGCCTTACCAGGGTGTCTACCAGTTATATAAAGCGGACTTTCGGGGACTTTCAGGAGTGTTTTTTCAAGAAAATCGGGGACATTTTTCCCTGAAAAAGTAAGAGAAAGGGAGCTACTTACAGCGTTAAAAGGCGTATTTTAAACGACTAATTTTACAAGTCATGCTGAACCAATGAAAACACACGGAAAACCTTCACATTTTTTTATTCTTGGTTATACCACGCCGCCGCGGCTGGCGAGAAAATTTGAAATCGGTGTACAGGATGATTTTTGTCATCTTTTGGGGACCTGAACAAGAAAATTGGAGACTTTCGGGGATATCGGGGACACCCTTCCAAAATTGGGGACATTGGGGACTTTTGGGGACCGTTAGACACCCTGCTTACGAGGAGAGGGGAGGAGGGGTCTAAAAATGGGAAAAAGTGCCTGACGTAATTTATGGATGGCCCCCAAGGCCTTCTGCTGGAGCTGACTCCCCGAAGGACTTGAAAATAATACTTCCTAAGTTGGCGCAACAACCCTCGACACCTCATCGTCAACGGGTTGATCAATGCGCTCCATTCGCGGGGCTGGTGAAATGAGAAAAAGGTGAAAACTTTCGAGGGTTTCTCCTGATTCAACGCCGAAATTTCTTAAATAGAGCTCGGCAAGAAGAGTTACAAGTTTCGCAGCTTGCACCGGAATTGGACTTTATTTACGCCTTTTGCGCGCATTAAATTTTTAATTGACATAGTTTAGCAAGGAAACGTGGCTAATTGGAAACAAAAACACTGGAAGCCCGGAAAGGAGAGAGGTAGCAGGATGGTGACTCGGCGCACAGTGCTGCCCGCCCAACATGTTTACCAACTTGATGCTTAGAGTTGGATTCGGTTTATTCGAAAGAAACCAAGTTCTTCTTTAAAGATTGACTTCCTGTCGTATTTTGTACTTTTTATAGTGGACAATACACAGGTGCTTGGAACTTGCGATGAAGTATTTTTTCGAACTCATCTACTTCAAAAAATAAATTATTAAATAGAGGTTTGCAAATTTTCGAAAATGGTGTTTTTTCTGCTTGCGGAATACATGTTTTCATCTAATCGCCGCTCTTTTGGATTCTCCGCATTCATGGAAAGTGCTCGCTGAGTTGGAGAGTTGGGTTAGGTTGGGTTAAGCAACTAAACTAACTCCTCGGTGAGGCGTGAAGTGTCATACAAATTGAAGGCGCGCAAACGCTTGGATTTGAGTGCTTGAGGAACAACTCCGAGTCGGGGTTGCCACTAAATCTAGAAAATGAAATTCCCTGGCATTTCCCTGAATTCCCTGATAGTTGTTGATGAAATTCCCTGAAAATTGAACAAATACCATTTTTTTTAAAAAAACATGGTTAGAAATAGTTTTCAGACAAAATAAGTAGTTAGAAACGTCAAATCCTCGCGAGAAAGGAAATGAGGGTGATTTGACGATTTTCCCCGGACGTTTTCGTTATGTTTTCCCTAACATTTCCCAGTTTCCCTTGACTTTTGAAAATTCCCTGACAGTTCCCGGTATTCCCTGATCGTGGCAACCCTGATTCCCGTGTTTATAATGGCAAAATCGCGCGGACAGCGGAACCGTTTCCACCGTGCGGCGGGGTGAAATATTTCAGAATTGTTATTCGACTCTTTTCATTTAAAGACTAATAAATGTGCCTCTTAGTATTTCGTCTTTACATGAGTTAATTAAAGCTAACGATTTATGTAGCCAGATAATAGGACACTGTTTAGTTTCTTTAGTTCGCCCGCTTTGTTCCCTCCGTTCTTCCCTGGTTCGTTACTTCGTTCCTAACTCCTGGATCCTTTTAATTACCCGAGTTCTCACGAGTCTCGGATTCCGAAAATACTGTCCCCGATCAGTGGCGTGGCGTGCTTTGCGATACATCGATATCTCCCCATTTGAAACTGTGGTAAAGAATCGATCACTAAGTTCTTCGTCGCGAACGCTCTGTTTTTCGATTCTTTTCCATAGGTTTAAAGGGTGGATCAATCGATACATCAAAAAGCACGCTACGCCACTGTCCTCGATACCCCGCGCAGTACCACCGCTCGTCGAAGGACTTTGAAATTTGCACGCGCACCTGAAAAAGTGTCTAGCACTGCACAGTAAAAAAAAATGCCATGAGTTCCATAATCAAAATGCTGAAATTCCGTTCTATTTCCATAATTTTGGAAAAGAAGGGGTATAAAATCCGCAGATTATTAGCATGGGCTGAAATCTTCAGGCACGTGATGTAAAAAGTAGCCACTGCCGCCCTGCAAAGACGCGGTAAAAATGGTTGAGACGCGATCAGCAGATTGTGCGTTTAGGAGCGGATTTCAGAAATTTCTGACAGGCTGGACGTTTTTTGTGGGATTGTACCCGATAAAAAAGCCTGAGTCGATTTTTCATGATAGAGAAGAAAAATATATATTAACTTGCCGGATTCCCGACGAACAAAGCAAGCGGTACGATGAGTATAAAGCGCCTTCAACGTCTTTTGCGGCAACCCGCATGCGGGAGATGAATATTGGCTTTGTGCTTGGTGAAAGAGAACAGAGATAATTCCAATGCTTTTAAGACTGTGCAGTGTGCACCGTAGTTCATATTGAAAAAAACAACAAGACAGAAAGAAAAGTTGACAACTTAACCGGTTCGATCAAAAAATAATACTTTTTGAAAATTACCCAATGTTCCATTTTTGTCTGTTTTCAGGTGTTTTTACTGTAAAAGAAAGTCGAGCGATCTTATCCACCTTCATTTTATCAAAATGGCGTTCAATAGAGAATTGGCAGGTGTCTGAAATTTGATGAATTTCGTGTTTAAGTGGAAACTACTGAGTGAACTGAACACGAGGATACCATTGGTTCATGAATTGAACAATTATTGGAGAAGATATGACAAAATGATCTAATCTGCTAAAATACGTGTGTTTAAATTGGAAATGCCGCCAGTTGACGTCACTAGGCGGTGCATTTTCTCACTTTTAAATGTATTTTTATACCATTCCCCACACTGGAAAAAAACACACTGGATCTAGAGTACAGACACTTAAAAACATCGACAAGAAAAAATACTCTTGATTCAATCAGATTTAAGCTTAAATCTGATTGATCAGATTTAAGCTTAAATCTGATTGAATCAAGAGTCCTTTTTCTTGTCAATGTTTTCAAGAGTCTGGACTATAGATCCAATGTGTTTTTTTTTCCAGTGCATATCAGAAAAAAAGTATAAAAAATATCACAATCATCTCTTTAAGCACTTTCAGCAAAAATGCAAAAGCAGCAGTCTTTCTGAAGCAATAAAAAATTTGCATGCAAATTCTCCATTCTATAGTTGAAAGCTTGAGAGCCGTGACTCACATTGGCGAAGTTGAGCTCGGAGCATTCTTCATGATTAGTGGTCGTACCGATGTATACCGTGCATCGCAAAAAAAGGGGAGAAAGGGGGAGGGGGCAGAAAAAAGGATGAAAAAAAGAAAAGAATCGAGAAAAAATTGTGGACATAGTTGTCAATAAGAAAATAAATTCAGCTCCTATAATTCCAGATCATATCCCCCAAAATAACGAGCGTGTACAATGGAGATGTTCCATGTGTGAGGAATTTGCGATTTGACTGTTGATTCTTATGTAAAAGTTCGCGAGAAACACGATGGCGACCACGAATGCCGTGGAACACGATGCCGTGTTTTCAGTTTTAGAGTCTCCAAATAAAGTGGCAGCCCTGTCAATGTATTTGCTCCCTATCTTTGCATGGAGAGTTTGTCTTGATGTAGAGGTGGACTCTCAGGATAGCGAGGGATATCCCCTCCATTTTGGCCTCAACTTGAGAGCTTTTTTCGAGCTTAGGAGTTGATTTCAGAGAAAACCAGTGGCACCATCGTGTTTCTCGCGAACTTTCACATATGAATCAACAGTCAAATCGCGAATTCCTCACACATGCAACATCTCCATTATGGATGTTTCACTGTAAGTGATTCAGAGATAACTTTAAAAATCTGACTTACGGATTTTTAAGTTCAGCCTTAGGCAAGGAGGCACCGCCATAAACTAAAATGAACGGTGGTTGCTCATTCTGCCTCGAGTCATCGCAGGACCTGGAATCACAACAGGAAGTAAGTTCAATTTTACTGATAAAAGTTATGACGTACTAAGAATAATTAGCGCGAAGCAAACTAGTCATATCTATCTACATCAAAGCTTTTAAAGACGGACTTATGTATGGGAAAACATTTAGGTTGTATTAGTCATGAGGCTGCAGTTGTGTACTTCTATACATCGAAGGATGCAAATTAAAATAGCCAATACAGTAGCTTCGCGCAACCATGCAGAAAATTTTTCCTTAAACATGTTTACTGATCTTTTCCATTTCTTGGATCTCTTTGGTTATTGACGCTGCCAGGCGAACGATTCTCAGTTGCTTATCGCCTTCTTGGACGCACTTTTTTGCATACCAAGCATCTCGCAAACATGTCTCTTCAATAGGTTTAATCTAGGTGAATTTGTTAATAAGATGCGTTCGCCGAATATTGTAAGTAAATTTGATTTCAGTATCTTCTCTGAAATATTTATACTGACTTGAGGCAGTCCTTCCAAAAAAAAATCAATAATTATTTCATGTTGCCATTACATTATTACCATCTCTAATTATTCATTCAAATTTACATTATACGTTTCAGTATGCGGCAAATTAGAAAAAAATCATGATACATCTTATCAATACATTATGAGTGGTGCATCACTGCGTCAGCGACGAGATCAAAGCTATTTATATCTCGTGTTCGCATTTGTTTTTAAGCCAATCCCTCCTCAAGATTTTCTATGTATTTTCGTAAGAAGTCTGGTTTCACATTCTTAGGTGAAAATTTGTTCACTTGTTTGCGCATATCTGCCCTTAAGTAGTTCCTTTTCAAACTCTTCATTGCAATTCTTTACTGGCAAAATAAACCCTGTCTCTTTACGTCGAAATTTTCCTCCGATGCCTCTTTATGCCTTTTAGCTTCTACTTCTTGTTTTCATTTAATACTCGAAAGACTCTTCATTCGAATATTTTTCTCTGCACTATGCACGAACCGTTTCATAAATTTTACCCAGCCATTCTTCAAACTTATAACCTCTCCTCTCCTTCTACAGTTCCTTTCAAGTCTAATCCAGCATCACCGTTTCTGACCTCGCCAAACATAGCACAGTCGCTAGTCGGCGCAAAAAGCGTATTAGCGCCTACGAGAGTGCAGGAATACTTCACGCATTGCGCCTAACATAGTGCGGTCGCTAGTCGGCGCGAAAAGCGAATTGGCGCCTACAAGAGTGCACGAATACTTCACGCATTGCGCACAGCACCGAAAATACGTACACAGAAGATTTCACAAACGGCTGACTTGTTTGGTATGACATAAACAAGTCCCTCTTTTTAGAAAAAGTCCTTGGATTCTTCATAACTAAAGGGAATAATAGTGGTCCATTTTTTCACTGAAAATTTTACTAAACTCTGGAAAAAAAACACATTGGATCTAGCGTCCAGACTCTTAAAAACATCGACAAGAGAAAATACTCTTGATTCAATCGGATTTTTGCTTAAATCAAGAACCAAGCCTCTTAATTTGAGCGGAATTCCTTTTGATTTAAGCAAAAATCTGATTGAATCAAGAGTATTTTTTCTTGTCAATGTTTTCCAGAGTCTGGACTCTAGATCCGATGTGTTTTTTTCCGGTGAAAATGAAGGGCTGATTCAATGACGTTTTCGCTTTTCTCAAAACTTTGTGTTTGAATTCACAGTTCTCTTCGGTGGTGCACCCCAGTCGTTCCAGATCCGCGAAACTACTCATTAAACCAACATATCAAAATCTCTGGACACATTTTTTCAACTAAAAATGTTGAATTTGCATAAAACTCTGACGATGAGCTGGCTCGCTCACTAATTCGGAAACAAAGGGGACGCTGGAGAGGCTAAACAGGCTGGTAACATCCGCTACGCGAGCACCAGGAAACAAGAGTCATGTTTTATTCACAGTTGAAACAATTACAATGAATAATAATAGTCAAGAATCTTAATGCCAGCCTATAATCCGTCCGGAGCGGGACAAATGTGTGTTGGTGCGACTTTATGTACCTAACATAAGCCGCTCACCCTTGTTTCGAACCGAGCGGAGCGACCAGAAACATCCCACCTTGTAGATCTTCCGCTCCATAACACAAAATTATTTCAGAATTTCCAAACTGGCTTCCATCTTAATTAGCCGGAAGATACGCTTTTCACTCCACCACTTCTTTCCGCCATTCCTCTTATTAAAAATGTTGGTTTTACGTCTAGATGCAAACAGCAAAAGTTTCAAAAATCAAGATGGTTTTCTTTTTTTTTAATTCAGAAGTCTTCATTGACATTTCATTTACAGCAGAGTACTTATAAATAAAACATAATTTCGGGGAGAAAAGATGGCTAGTTAATTTTATTAGAGACATTAAGCATTTTAGGCTAGGTTTCTACAGAAAATATGAAGGGCGAGTGCAAATACAAAAATTGAGATTTTTAATTTAATGGAAGCAAAGAATTTCAAAATTTTGGTTGTAACACTAGGATCATCATCGTAGGTTTAGTAGGTAAGCAGACCGTGACATGTTCAATTCATGTACCACACGGTTTCCACAGAATTTCGGGTGGAAAAATCTCGAATTTTCATAACTTTTTCTTGACTGCTTCCAAAGCATCGGTACGATTTAACTATGTTGCGACCAGTGGCGTGGCGTGCTTTGTGATAATCGATTGATCTACCATTTTTAAACCTATGGAAAAGAATCGATAAACAGGGTGTCCGCAACGAACACCTCAACAGTCGATTCTTAACCACAGCTTTAAATGGGGGAATATCGATAATCGATCATTCGCGCCTCGCTACTGGTTGCGACACCAATTCGTATAAATTCATCATTATGTCTTATTTCCTTCAATAAAATAATAATTTTCACAGAAACTTTTTTTCTTCACATTATTTAGAGAATTTTTCGCAATTTCCGTGGGTATCTGGAAGTGTCAAGGAGTATATTATGCTTATCCAGGACTTCCTACCTACACATACATCCTTTCTTTCAGGGGAAAATTTTTTTAACAACATTCGAAAGTTTATGAGGCGTTTTTTCCTCGCATGGCAGCATAAAAGAGCTTCATTTTTACGTACCGATAGATTACCTTTCAAGTAATAAACGACTGATGCGGGAAATTTCGTAAAACTCGTCGATTTGCAGGATAAAATAAATATAGCTCTGCGGTCTAATTGAAGCAAAGAGAAAAGAAGAGCCGCAATATGAATTGCAAGCCGAGTGGCAATCCTTACTGTTACGAGTCGTCTCTGATTGGCTGATTCGCCTGGTGCCCACTTCCTGGGACCCCAAAGGAAAATAATACGGGGTTTATTCATCATCAAAAATATGTCGAAAACAAGGGAAAATTAATGAGTCGGAGATTTCAGAAATCAATTCTCCACATTTTTATGCAGGTATTGATGGGTAATACATGACACGTTTTTCTCAAACACACCGAACAGTTCAACCATGAATTTTGTTTTTCCATGACACAGAAGTGTCACATTTTAAGTTGAAAAAAAAAAAACATTCCTTCTGAAAAAATTTAAGCTGTTACGTGGACTGCATTTTGTATTTAGGAACTACAATTTCCGACTCTTTATTAAAAGCTATGAATGCACAGCGTAACTAATAGAAGATACGTTGTTTCTAAAATGAGCCAAAAATATTTAGATCCATTTCCGGTTCCTCATGCATCTCTCATATTTTCGCTCAGTGTTACCACTCTTCGCCCTCTCTCTGTTCCTGTATTTTTATTTTTTATTTGTATTCCTTAATTTTTGTATCTCATGTATATATGTATTCATTTATTTATTTATTTATTTATTTAAGAAAAACTATTTCAGGGCTCTCGGCGAGGCGAATTGAGGTTGGGGACGGCGGTGCGCTCGACGACGTTCCCTCACCGCGAGGAGCGCAATTACAATTGAGGAAACTTAAAACATTATAATGAATGTCACTTGGGAATCAACTTGTCAGACTTCTTTTACGGCTCCCTTTGCTTTATAATTAAGAATTCGGTGGCGCCGAGTTCGGAGTTGGGAATTAAGAGGGTGACGAGGGCGGAGGTGGACGAGCCGAGGAGGAGACAAACACGGAGTTGCCCGTTTTCGGAATTCGGATCCCGGGATCCCGCCCCAAAACCCCCCATCGCCCACTCCGGCTCCCTCTCGCCAGAACTTAACCCACCTGCGGACTGATTATTGAAGTTGATGGACAAAGCTATAGACAAAAAAGACATAGGGAGTATGAAGCGATCCTATTGGTTGAACTGGGTGACTCTTATTGACAAAGGGAGAAAATGATAGACTCTCGTGGGTTGCCGTTAGTTAGTCCATTACCTACCTCCTTTGTCCACTGAAACCACCCGCTTCCACCAATAGGACCTCTCCACATCTCTTTTGTCTCCTTTGTCTATAAATTTGTCTATCAATTTCAATAATCGGCCCGCAGCTCTTGACTGCTCTTGACTCATTACTGAGACAGCTAAAACAGCAAAAGTCATCCTAATTTAATGAAAACGAGACGTATGAGAAAGCCGTAAGTGCACAAAAAATGGCATAGTTTTTTTCAAGACAGCCGTAGGTGCATGAGAGCCAATGAAAACAGTGCTTTCAAGAGGAATGCCGCCCTCATTTGTCGATTTCTAACTTGAAAATGTGTTTGTTGTTTGTCCAACACGTTACCACAAAAGCACGCACAGGATAGCACGTACTGCTGTCTTGTCAAATGCTAACCTAACATGAAACTGAATTTTACCTTTTTCATGTACTTTAAAATAAAATCGGTCGAGTTTTAATCCCCCAAATGATTTCTAAGAGTCTATCGAATGATTGATTGCGATTTGACAAAGAACGGAGGCTTCTTTTAATAAAATGTTCCACTCAGAAGCTTCTAGGCGCATTTTCTCAAAACTCCATCTTTGCACTTACGGCTTTCTTCTCTATAACGGCAGTGCTCTCCTGCTTCTGCCCAAGAGAGCGCTAACTATGCAGAACATGTTTCCAGAAAATGGATCTAT